GCGTTTCGCTCGCTCTACTATCCCTGAGGAAAAATTGGGACTACTCGTAGTCTTGGCCAATACTCGACTGAGCAAAGGACCCAGTTGACTGGTTTACTCGCTTCCTTCCGGTGCTCTCACGCTTCCGCTTTTCGACTATAATGGTAGTCAAGGATCACTACATAAAGGTTTATTATTATTATTATCATTATCATTATTATTATTATTATTATTATTATTATTATTATTATTATTATTATTATTATTATTATTATTATTAAAACCTGGACGCAGTGCGCGTCAACTGACCCACTAAGAATAGGTTTGCCCGCGGACCTTCAAACTTTGAACAGACAGCGATCTGTTATCTGTTTGAAAGCCGAACGTAAGGAAAACATCGCCGAATCTCTCACTGTTTGTATAAGTATAACTATAATTTGTCTTTGTAGCAAAATTGTGCACTATAAATGTATTGCGAGTAATAGTTGAATAAAGCGGGCAAAAAACATCACCTCGAACTTTTCTGTTGTTAGTGACACAGCAGGGATAGCAAAGTATCGGAAAGAAACAAGCCTTTTTCTAAAGCTGCTACATTTTATATTGTTCCGACACTTACCCAATTTTATATTTCTTTTTTCCCTTAGTATCAAGTAGCAAGGGAAAAGGTCGGAACGTAAAATGGCCACGTTCGCAGCCAAGTATCTTGTATCAAGCGCCGCAAGTGGAGTGAGCAACCGAGTAGGCGAATTGAGTGGAGATATCGGAAAACAGCTGAGCACGGAGAACTTGAGTAAAAAAGATCTGGATCGAGCTGAAAAAGAACTGTACAAGGAAGAGACCTCACGCAAGAAGAAACACCTAAAAATGGAGGCATCTAGGGAAAAACTTAGGTCTGACATTAGAGGAAAGTATGGAATTACAAAGAGAAAAGGACATGAACCTGTTGAAAGTCACAGTGGTATTTTAATGCCGAGAAGCGAAAAAGAACTTCTTTTGGCGGCCGAAAATCATGCCGACGAAGAAGATGATTGCGAGTGCAGTTCTTGTTGTCCATGGACTTCCTGCTTTCCTTGTTTTAAATTCAACAATCACAAGGATTCATGACGTGATAATATGTTAAAAGAGATTTCGGAGTTTTCACAATGTCATTGTCCAGTATTTAAATGATTGTTATTTAAGTGATTGGTCGGCGAGGCTTTTCTTTGATTGAACTTCTTGATTGACCAATGACTGAGGTTAGGTCAAGTACATATCTGGGCCGAGTTGTTCAAAGCTGGGTTAAGATAACCCAGGGTTAGTGCGAGATTTGAATTCAGATTTGAAAGCTTAAAAAGCATTTCAGTTTTAATTCTTTTTGTCTACAAGTTAATGATTGGAAGATCTAAAAAATTGCACAGAAAATTGTCCGAGAAAATGCTTTTGAACATAAGAAAAAGAAACCCGAGTTAAGCGCTAATCGGCCTTCGAACAACTGGTCCCAGGGTGTTACAGACCATAGACTACAAACGACCCCGCTTCTTCCGTCGAGCGAAAGCCGGCTCGCGCGACCAGCAACGCGAGATGGGAGGGACTGACGCCCTTGCATCTCACGGTCAGCTGGCAAGCAACTCAATGAACTTGAATGAAAAATAACAGACCACTCAAATTTTATTCAGAGTCCATTTGCGTTTTCCAGGTAGTCTGTGAACAGGCTCTCTGTTTGGGGTAAGAGTCAAAAAATCGCGAGGAAAAAATCTTCTCGCGATTTTTTCAAGGCGTCCGGATTGTGGGAACGCGGGGCAAAGAGATGTAAGCATGCAGAAAAAAACAGCGAGGGGTTTGGGCATGGGGCGAGAGCGAAGGAACAACCCTCTCTCCAGTCTTCCTGTCATCCTTCTTATTTTTTCACGCTCTCTAACTCGCACACCACTATTAGGGGTATAGAATGGTAAATTCGAGACTGCGAGACCCGGGTTTCCAACTTCGAGACTCCAACACGCAAAATCACCTGAAAATGAGACTTCGAGACCCATCACAAACGCTCCCGAGATTTCGAGATCAGACCAAAATTTTACGACCCACGTTTTTCGACGAGCCATTCTATACCCCTACTATCTGAACACCTAGAACAGGGTATTAGTTAATTGTCTCAAACCATAGACCAATAGCTTGGGTTTGATTACGAAGTTTGCAGATTGAGTGTCACCAACTTCAAATCGCCGATTATATCAAGCAGGCCAACTCGAGGTACACTGGAGAACAACAGTCTTACATCGGCGAAAGACCACGTAAAGTTAAGTTCTCAAAAAAGTTACCAAAACGATCATTATTTTTGCAGAGTCTGTGGTTGAAGGTTAAAGTGTACCGGAAAATAAGATCCACGTCATCAAACTTACTTCGTGGAAACAAAAGGGAAAAAAAAGACAATTTACATGGTGATATCCTCAAACCGTTGTTATCGAAACAAGTGAAACAAACATGGTTTTTAAATAAAATTTCTATTCACTTTTACATGTAAGTTGTTCTGTCAGATGTCAATAGT